AACAATGAGAAAAGTGTATTTTATAGAAATTAAGTATATATTTAAGTTAGCATTTAAGTAGGTATATAGAGAAAGGGTATATACTATATAGAGTTCGAAATTATAAATTGTCAGGTCTTAAATTGTAATAGTAAGTATAATCTTTTTTTTTTAAATATAAAAATTTGCACAGTCATGTATTAGTATTTTTATTAATTAAATTGCATCACATTTACTTAGTAATTGCAAATCATTTTGTTCTGATGACTCACAGATTATCAATTAATAAAACTTTAATATGATAAGATGATCTTTAAAATTAATCAATCACAACCAAGCCAGATTATATATAGTATAGGTGGGCATATAGCATAAGTGATGACTATAGATATAATAAATAGATATGTTATACAAGAAATATATAAAATTTCTAGAAGACTTTATGATTAACATTTATATTATTATATTACACCCTGTTATATATAAAAACTTAATCTAATCTACTAGTTTATGTTTGTTGCCCACCTATACTATAGATCAACCTAAAGCCTGCTAACATCACTTTTTTATAGTATTTATATATTTCACATATTTCTTAATAGATAAATAACTTAGTAATCAATTTAAAAACTAGATCATCTCTTAATTTAATATTATATTTACAAGAGAAGTTAGCAATATTTTTTTATGATTGATATTAGATTTGCTATTTAATTCTGAACTATATTTGTAGTTAGGTCAATATAAATGCTCTAATGTTTTGTAACACAAGTTATAAATGAGAAAAGAGCTATTGAGGTAGCTCAAATTGCTCAGCTGACTTGATAATTTGATGTGATTGCAATCTGAGAATGTGTATTAGGTTGTTTTTGAATGATTATATAACAATCTAAAATAAATATATGAGAAAATTTGAAGCTTGATTTAGTGCACATTTAATTATATACTTCTTTTTATTAATTATATACTTTATAAAATATTATAAAACATATCTATAGGTGTTAAATTATAGATAATTGACAGCAGATAATATGGCTAAATTTTTTTATTATTTATCATAGTGTTTCAAAATACCATGTATCTAAATTCTTTTAGTCGCCAAAAATATTATAGACTGCCAATGTTGCCTATAATATTATATACTGTCTATATTATTATATACTGATGATATTATTTTGATCATATATATTACTACTATAAATTGCTATATACAAGATCTGAGTCTCTTACATTCTACCAATTTTATAGCTGCTCTTAAACTCTAAGACAACTAATATATATTCTATATATAAATTAGAATTTTGTAAATATGATATATTTATAATAAAAATTTTTTATACTAAGTTTAAGGTTTTAAATAAATTGTAGAGTTCACTTAAATGAATCTAATAGTAGTTAAATAATCAATATTAGCCTAGTAGATATACCAAGAACGAATAATTATATAATTATCATTTTAAAACCTTATCTTACTAGTGACTTAACAGTTTTGTAAATATTTTTATCATAAATTTGTTATATATTAGTAATATATTAATCAAATATTTATTATATTTTATACTTATAATATTTTTATCATATGATTATTATATAACTATTATATTATAATTATATTTGTCAAAAATTACAGAGTGCTGTAAAAAGGATTATTACTGTTTTAGCCAAAAAGAAAATGTAGTGGATCACAGATAAAGGTGTATCCAATAAATAAAGACATTTTACGACTATCATAGGCTTAAACGGAAATGATCTTTGGAATTCAGAAAAAATAAATTGGAGTGGATTAATACTAGATTATTCTGCTAGCACATGTTATGATTATAATCAAACACCATTTTATTATAATAAAAATGGCATTAGATTTTAATCATAACATGTACTAACGGAGTGATATGGTATTGTAAATTATTTTTCTATATATTACATACACCAGAGTATTAAAATCAGTTATACCATGTAATAAACCTCAAAAAAATAAAGACGTAAAAACGTTTTCTAATCAGAGCGCCTGTTGAACTTTGTCTCTTATAATAGATTTATAAATAAAAAATTTATATTTTAAATTACTTTCAGAATTATCTCTATATAATTAAAACATTATTCATAAATCAAAGATTACTATATTGACAGACAACAATATTTGTATTAGATATTGAGTTTATAATCTACAACTAGTATATTTTATCTAAGTTTAATGATCAAGATCTATGTTTAATTCTATAATTATATATGATTCTGTTTAAATATAACTAATAAAAATTTGTAATAAAATACAATTTATAGTCTTAAAAGTAATTAGAGTACAATCAAAGGAATTATTAGATAAATTAAAAAGAACTGTTAAATAAATTTCTTAAAGCCTTTATTACCCATTGATATAAACTTTTGACCATTAATCTTTTCCCAATCTGAAGCATATGCAGTCCTAATATGTTTAGTACTGCTCTACCAAGATCCATATATCTGACAATCTGTCTAATTGATAATGATGTTGAATTTTCGCAATTTATGATAGATACAAGCAGTAAACATAAAAGTATTATTAATAATATTATGAATATATAATATTGAAAACCATAATATAAGTTATAATATATTTTTTCAGTTATAATCTGGATAGGACCATTAATTATAGCTTGCCTAGTGGGTGTAACCATATTGATCATAATATCAGTTATTTGTCATTTGAACATACCGCTTATGCCTTCTTCAGTTGTGCCCTTTTCTTTCCACTGTTGTAGTAGAGCTAAATTTCCAATACCATCTGCTCTATAATCAGTTAAATCTAGCAAATCATCGTTAACTAAATTATTAAGCATAATATTAATTGCTAAGCCAGCAATACCAGCAGTTTGTGCATCTGTGGTGAAACCCCAATAGAACGTATTGCCTGCCTGCAACCAAAGACTATTTCACTTACTAACATACTGTTATTTGGAATATTTTTTCAAAATTCAACTCCACCCCACCAAGGATACATGTCATTAATATTAAGGTTAGCATTTTCAATATACCACTTCATTGGGATAGTTTGTTTGTCCAACACATTAATTTTACTCATCGTGTTAGTTTGCATATTGATAACCTCTACACTAGCTTTAGCTGCCGCAGCACATCTATACAATGTTTGTTCTATTCCTCTTTCAGTAAGATTAGATGGACCATATATTGTCTAACATTTGATGCCAACTGTTTTATCAGCAATTGTATCAATGTGACCAAACCCTTCACATTGAGTCTGATATATATCTGTATTATTGATACCATTAAGAAGTTCATTAGTCGAACTTATTGATTTCGGTTCAGAAATAGGAGAAGCACCGAAACCTTTTGATTTGATGAAAGTCCCATTACTGGTCATATTCATATGTTGCATCACAATAAATTGCATTAACTGACTATACCTAATACTTCTTGATAAAAGATCGATATTTTGGTTTCTATTACCAAGTGGATGTAATTGTGAAGGATAAGGATATACATCAGTTTTATTAATGACTAGTTTTGCTGCATAGGTATATGTCCCATTTGTCATGAAATTCGAGTAATATTAGTTGATTTACAACTAACATAAGGTTGTAATCATAGACCTTTAATTGACTAGTTGTATTTTTTACCAACCTTTTGCTTAGGTTGGATCACATGATTCACTAAAAATCTACCATTATGATCCACAATCATTGTATCAACAATACTATAACCAGTTTGTGTACTTGTTACCATACCCATCATAAAATCATATACTGGATGTGTGAAATAACCAAAATTACTAGACTTCAATATATGATATCTCATACTATACGTCTTATTAAAGTCTTCTAGGTACAATTCATTGACAAATTCACTAACTAACATTACTCTAACTTGTGCCAATTTTTTTGAAGAAAATGTATCATTAATTATAAAACTAAGTAGGTCTGGCTTAACAACGATAGTTTCTATTGATGTTGTATCATACATTATAGTACAAGTATGAACGCCAAGTGGTGCTATTAAAGATACACCAAATAATGTTAATAAACTTATTCCAGTAAGTATGTAAACTATATTACACTTGTATGTTCCTACTTTCCATAATTTAAATCCTGTTAATGCAGGTTGTCCACCTGCTCCATAAAAACTAAGTAAGCTATGTTCTGTTAATTTACTTAATGTTGTCCATTCTAAAGCTGTCATTTTATCACTAACATTCATCATTATCACTACGACACCAACACTAATAATTATAATAGGTAAAAAAAAACCAATAACTCCGATTATTGCTGCTAATTGACCAGCAGCAAAATTAACTATCAAGAATATCATTTTGTTGTAATTTATCTTTAGATTATTTATCATGATGTATTTAATGATCACTAGAAACCTATACCAAAAACCTTTTAATAAATGATTCTGTGTTTGTGTCAAAAATTAAAAAAAATTTAATCCTCTAATCATTGTAGTATATTATTCCTAAAATGTAATTATAATTTAATAAAGATTACTTTATCTGAGATTTTTATTCAATCGTGCATATTTATTATGTAAAGATTACTTTATCTGAGATTTTTATTCAATTGTACATATTTATTACATATGTATATACGTACGTACATACGTCGTACTGGGCTGATACGGTACATATGTATATTATAGATCTTTAATAATATCAAGATCGGAATTGGCTAAAATAATTATCTTGGTAGATGCTATTTCAATTGAAAACAAACAACACAAAAAATAAATATTCAAAACATAAACACATAAAATATAACTAACATGGAACATGAACACGATTCACGTCCTCTACATTTGTGTTTGGTTATTTTTATTTTGTTTCTATTTTTGGTTGTTGTTTTAGTTGTTTATTGTTTTGATAAAAATTTTTTTACATGCTCATTTTATAAAATTTTTATATATAAAGGCATGAAAAATTCCTTGGTGAACTTTATATCCCAAATATACTTTTATATTAAAAAAAGAACTAAATATTTATATATATAATTTTTGCACTAAAAAAAATTTTTTAAACTTTTATTTAATGGATATTATTTCTTTAAGCCAAAAGAATTTAAACACTTTTAATCTGAAGAAGATATAAAGAAAGTACTTGAAGTTATAAAGATAAGTATATATTTATATACTTTTAATTGTTATGAAATTTTAAATTATAAATATTAAAAAATACTTATATATTTTATTTTTTTATTATTTTTAATATAAAATAGAAATTCTAGGTTGAAAGTGTTTAAATTCTAATTGGCTACAAAAATATTATTTCATATAATACTAGTTAAAAAAATTTTTTTTGCATTTATAATTATATCAAATATTTAAAATTTTTTTTACAAACATAAACTTATATATGGGTTATCATTATGGCATGCCATTTCAATAGAAAACAGTCAAAGATTTTTAAATATGAGTTGCTTTTTTATATGAAAATAATTAAGCTCAAAGGTTTTTTCACTATATAAAAATCTCTTGTTAA